AAGTATTCATTTGACATTGTGGGTTACCTATAATGCGAAGAGATGGCGCTGCCTTGCAGCTTAAGAATGGCTAGAGGAATTTCGACGCGGTCCGTGAGGGCCGCAGTAGCATAATTGGTCAGTGCATTCGCCCGGATTGCGAAGGGTGCGGGTTCGAGACCCGTCTGCTGCTTGGTCCGCGTGGATTTTTTTCTATGTATTGGTTTTATTAAAAATCTACAAAACATTCCGTCAAAAGTGATTTTATTTGATTGAAAGTTTAGATGACTAATCGCGCACAAGCGGCGGTCAACAGGCGCGGCGCTGGACGCCACCCTTCGGCAGTATTTTCAGTCTAGCTCCTAATCCAATTTCACGCCCATTATAAAAGTTGGCACCAATGTTCTACACAATATTAGCAATTTATATAAAAAAAATAAAAAAAAACTAAATGGTCTAACTTGGTGAAAATCAAGGAAAAAAACTTAAATTGGATCTTTTTTACGAAAAAAAATTTATTTTTTCTTTTCCAAAAACACAGTTAAAAAGCCCAGTAAATAAAGTAGGAAATCCAGTGGTTTACTTATTTTAATATATAATTTTATGAGTCCATAATCGGCTTTGAAGTACTGCATGCCAACCGGTTGTCGAAAACTTCAAAGTCCCATTACTCTTTAACTAGTCATTATATCACAAAAATATTTGGTACGCGTATCAATAATAAGTATAAGTAGAACATACTCAAATATTACTGAAATCGGAAACATCGAGTTTTTTTACCTGTCCGCTTCGCGTGGGAATGCCCCATATAGGATAGAATACGTTTCTGATACATCTTTATATATATAACTAGCAAACCCAGCGAACTCCGTTTCGCCACCAGATAGCTTCGTTTTATGTAACATTTTCGTTTTGTGATTAAAAGAAAACGATTTTTTTTTAATTTTTCCTGAATTTTCTTTGCTATAAACCTCACGGAGCCCGAGACCTTTCCAACGAATGCAAAACCGTGGAAATCGGTTCGTGCGTTCTGGAGTTATAGCGTCAGGAAGGAAAACCGACTTATTTTTATATAGTAGATTGTTCTGTGAGTGTGTATGTCACTGAACTTCTCTTAAACGACTGGACCGATTTTGATGAAATTTTTTGTGTGTGTTCAAGGGGATCTGAGAATGGTTTAGATTCACAATTTTGTCCGCTGGACAACCCCTATTTTTTTAGGGCGGTACGAAGTTCGCTGGGTCAGCTAGTATACATACATATAATATTTATCTAGTGTTATATATTTTATAAACATCCATGATTTGTGTTCAAAGGCTCGTGTTCATCATACTAACATTTGCCCCACCGGGATCGAACCCGAGATCTCGGACTATCTTGAAACCCGGCGTACATACCAGTCGGACACGGGAGGTCGTTAAATATAACTAAAACGTTTAAATTTAAAGAAATATAACTAGAAAAATTCCACGCAGACCAGGCAGCAGACGGGACTCGAACCCGCACCCTTCGCAATCCGGGCGAATGCACTGACCAATTATGCTACCGCGGCCCTCACGGACTGCGTTGAAATTCTTCTAGCAATTAAAAAACGTTTAATCCATAAAACTTCGAGTTTATAAATAAGTGAGAATTCTATACTAATTTTCTTTCGTCATTTCAGCTAAATCACTCATCAAATCCATAGACAGGCCATATTACAAAGTAAACTTGAACTTGTCTATATCCAAACTCGTGCATATGGAAACCGATGAGATAGAAATCAAAACGGAAGATGTCGAAGAAGAACAAGAAGAAGAAGATGTAACATCAGACCGGAAGAAAGTGGAATGTATGCTAATATTGTTACTAATGACAAGATGTTACAAACGGATGAAGGAATTAGTGAAACTAATCCATCCGTTAAATATTTACAAACAGATGATGTAGCAGACATGGATATTGATCAATCCAATGTATATTTGCAAGGAAATAAAGAAGGAATTACTAATATAGGACAACAAGATGTTGAAGCGGAAATCAACAATATTGGACAATACGTGGATTGCATCGAAGAAAATGATCCAGAAATAAGTCATAGCAAACAATCTGAAGATGACATGGACACTAAAGTTATAGAAGAGTTTTTAAATAGGATAAATAAAATAAATAGTCCTACAAAAAAGAAGAGCATAGTGGATAAGTATGCGAAGGAACTCTCTATGGAAGTTAAGGTTTTGACCAAAGAGGAGCAATTGGAATCGTGCAGGCGAGGAAATCGTCAAGCAACTATTTAAATTCAAAATTTAGGTGAGTGCTTACATAACTACCCTTTTTGTCACACAAACTCGTCATTTGAATACATTTATGTCCGGGAAATAAGGAGCTCGATGGCGAAATAATGAACTTAAGCAACTTTCGCAGTGGTCGGTCATTGGATGGGTGATCAAAAATTTACTATCTCGAGCTCCTCCGTGCTTCGGAAGGCACGTTAAGCGTTGGTCCCGGCTGCACTGCAGTCGTTAGAACCCACCAATCCGCACTGGGCCCGCGTGTGGGTCATGGCCCAACCTCCCTATTCCATCCATAGGGAAGGCCTGTGCCCCAGCAGTGGGGACATTAATAGGCTGATGATGATGATGACGCTGATGTCCGGGAAATGGTTCCAGTGAGATTAGAGTACCAAAATATAGTCTTTTTTTATTGTTAAAGAAAAAAATCGTGGTTTTTTCGAAGGCATGTTTTTTCACGAGTACAGAATCCAAAATTTTCAAGATTTTTTTCCGTTAAAGATAAATGCTTATGGGTTTATATATACTTTTCTGGATGGAGGATAATTTAAAACCTACCACACTTTTTGATTGAAAATTACCAATAAAGTTTACAACTTTTGGCAACACTCACGTGTATGGCTACATATGTAGCATGGGAAAATCCTTGAATTCCCCGTTCAGTATATATCAGTTTGAAGTATGAACGCGGTAACCATAGAGGTATAAGAATAGAGTAGGGGAGATATAGACTACTACAAGTGGAGAGTGTCCCTCTGATAGAAAGAGAAAGAAAATGAGAGACCTCCCTCTAATCGCGCATGCGCATTGGCAACTGTAAGCATCTTACTATTTCGATTTAATGCCATTGGATGCCATGCGTCAAGTCACAAGAGAGAGAGATAGCTAGCCGTCTCTATCTTCTTTCTCTTTCTACTAGACGGATACTTTTAGAGCCGCCTTCCCCACTCTATTCTGATATGCAGTTAACAGAACTATTTGAAGACTAGTTTTTTAAAGCAATAATTAAATTTTTTCATCACATTTGCTCAAAAATGCATTTACGGAGGTTGTATACATTGTTCGTAAGTTTAAAATTACGGGATATGCAACGGATACTCCCATACATAGCGCCGTGCATATCCTTTACGTTTTAATCTATTTATTTATTTAAACTTTATTACCACAATTACAAAAATGGCCAAAAGGCGGACTTAACGCTAAAATCATTCTCTGCCAGTCAACCTTTAGGCATAAAGAAATCCACGAATGCGGCTATAATAATAAAAAAAAAGTGATTTGCTTTAATCATACACCAGTAAAAGTAACTACATAAATATTTATTTAAAAATAAACCTGAATATACATGCATAGAATACATTTAAATATATTACTTATATAAATATTTATTATATATAAGTAATATATTTAAATGTATTCTATGCATGTATATTCAGGTTTATTTTTAAATAAATATTTATGTAGTTACTTTTACTGGTGTATGATTAAAGCAAATCACTTTTTTTTTATTATTATAGCCGCATTCGTGGATTTCTTTATGCCTAAAGGTTGACTGGCAGAGAATGATTTTAGCGTTAAGTCCGCCTTTTGGCCATTTTTGTAATTGTGGTAATAAAGTTTAAATAAATAAATAGATTAAAACGTAAAGGATATGCACGGCGCTATGTATGGGAGTATCCGTTGCATATCCGTAATTTTAAACTTACGAACAATGTATACAACCTCCGTAAATGCATTTTTGAGCAAATGTGATGAAAAAATTTAATTATTGCTTTAAAAAACTAGTCTTCAAATAGTTCTGTTAACTGCATATCAGAATAGAGTGGGGAAGGCGGCTCTAAAAGTATCCGTCTAGTAGAAAGAGAAGAAGATGAGAGACGGCTAGCTATCTCTCTCTCTTGTGACTTGACGCATGGCATCCAATGGCATTAAATCGAAATAGTAAGATGCTTACAGTTGCCAATGCGCATGCGCGATTAGAGGGAGGTCTCTCATTTTCTTTCTCTTTCTATCAGAGGGACACTTCCACTTGTAGTAGTCTATATCTCCCCTACTCTATTCTTATACCTCTATGGTTACCGCGTTCATACTTCAAACTGATATATACTGAACGGGGAATTCAAGGATTTTCCCATGCTACATATGTAGCCATACACGTGAGTGTTGCCAAAAGTTGTAAACTTTATTGGTAATTTTCAATCAAAAAGTGTGGTAGGTTTTAAATTATCCTCCATCCAGAAAAGTTATATATAAACCCATAAGCATTTATCTTTAACGGAAAAAAAATCTTGAAAATTTTTGGATTCTGTACTCGTGAAAAAACATGCCTTCGAAAAAACCACGATTTTTTTCTTTAACAATAAAAAAAGACTATATTTTGGTACTCTAATCTCACTGGAACCATTTCCCGGACATCAGCGTCATCATCATCATCAGCCTATTAATGTCCCCACTGCTGGGGCACAGGCCTTCCCTATGGATGGAATAGGGAGGTTGGGCCATGACCCACCACGCGGGCCCAGTGCGGATTGGTGGGTTCTAACGACTGCAGATGCAGCCGGGACCAACGGCTTAACGTGCCTTCCGAAGCACGGAGGAGCTCGAGATAGTAAATTTTTGATCACCCATCCAATGACCGACCACTGCGAAAGTTGCTTAAGTTCATTATTTCGCCATCGAGCTCCTTATTTCCCGGACATAAATGTATTCAAATGACGAGTTTGTGTGACAAAAAGGGTAGTTATGTAAGCACTCACCTAAATTTTGAATTTAAATAGTTGCTTGACGATTTCCTCGCCTGCACGATTCCAATTGCTCCTCTTTGGTCAAAACCTTAACTTCCATAGAGAGTTCCTTCGCATACTTATCCACTATGCTCTTCTTTTTTGTAGGACTATTTATTTTATTTATCCTATTTAAAAACTCTTCTATAACTTTAGTGTCCATGTCATCTTCAGATTGTTTGCTATGACTTATTTCTGGATCATTTTCTTCGATGCAATCCACGTATTGTCCAATATTGTTGATTTCCGCTTCAACATCTTGTTGTCCTATATTAGTAATTCCTTCTTTATTTCCTTGCAAATATACATTGGATTGATCAATATCCATGTCTGCTACATCATCTGTTTGTAAATATTTAACGGATGGATTAGTTTCACTAATTCCTTCATCCGTTTGTAACATCTTGTCATTAGTAACAATATTAGCATACATTCCACTTTCTTCCCGGTCTGATGTTACATCTTCTTCTTCTTGTTCTTCTTCGACATCTTCCGTTTTGATTTCTATCTCATCGGTTTCCATATGCACGAGTTTGGATATAGACAAGTTCAAGTTTACTTTGTAATATGGCCTGTCTATGGATTTGATGAGTGTGGGATTTAGCTGAAATGACGAAAGAAAATTAGTATAGAATTCTCACTTATTTATAAACTCGAAGTTTTATGGATTAAACGTTTTTTAATTGCTAGAAGAATTTCAACGTCCGTGAGGGCCGCGGTAGCATAATTGGTCAGTGCATTCGCCCGGATTGCGAAGGGTGCGGGTTCGAGTCCCGTCTGCTGCCTGGTCTGCGTGGAATTTTTTCTAGTTATATTTTCTTTAAATTTAAACGTTTTAGTTATATTTAACGACCTCCCGTGTCCGACTGGTATGTACGCCGGGTTTCAAGATAGTCCGAGATCTCGGGTTCGATCCCGGTGGGGCAAATGTTAGTATGATGAACACGAGCCTTTGAACACAAATCATGGATGTTTATAAAATATATAACACTAGATAAATATTATATGTATGTATACTAGCTGACCCAGCGAACTTCGTACCGCCCTAAAAAAATAGGGGTTGTCCAGCGGACAAAATTGTGAATCTAAACCATTCTCAGATCCCCTTGAACACACACAAAAAATTTCATCAAAATCGGTCCAGTCGTTTAAGAGAAGTTCAGTGACATACACACTCACAGAACAATCTACTATATAAAAATAAGTCGGGTTTTCCTTCCTGACGCTATAACTCCAGAACGCACGAACCGATTTCCACGGTTTTGCATTCGTTGGAAAGGTCTCGGGCTCCGTGAGGTTTATAGCAAAGAAAATTCAGGAAAAATTAAAAAAAAAATCGTTTTCTTTTAATCACAAAACGAAAATGTTACATAAAACGAAGCTATCTGGTGGCGAAACGGAGTTCGCTGGGTTTGCTAGTTATAATATAAAGATGTATCAGAAACGTATTCTATCCTATATGGGGCATTCCACGCGAAGCGGACAGGTAAAAAAACTCGATGTTTCCGATTTCAGTAATATTTGAGTATGTTCTACTTATACTTATTATTGATACGCGTACCAAATATTTTTGTGATATAATGACTAGTTAAAGAGTAATGGGACTTTGAAGTTTTCGACAACCGGTTGGCATGCAGTACTTCAAAGCCGATTATGGACTCATAAAATTATATATTAAAATAAGTAAACCACTGGATTTCCTTTTATTTACTGGGCTTTTTAACTGTGTTTTTGGAAAAGAAAAAATAAATTTTTTTTCGTAAAAAAGATCCAATTTAAGTTTTTTTCCTTGATTTTCACCAAGTTAGACCATTTAGTTTTTTTTTATTTTTTTTATATAAATTGCTAATATTGTGTAGAACATTGGTGCCAACTTTTATAATGGGCGTGAAATTGGATTAGGAGCTAGACTGAAAATACTGCCGAAGGGTGGCGTCCAGCGGCGCGCCTGTTGACCGCCGCTTGTGTGCGATTAGTCATCTAAACTTTCAATCAAATAAAATCACTTTTGACGGAATGTTTTGTAGATTTTTAATAAAACCAATACATAGAAAAAAATCCACGCGGACCAAGCAGCAGACGGGTCTCGAACCGCACCCTTCGCAATCCGGGCGAATGCACTGACCAATTATACTGCGGCCCTCACGGACCGCGTCGAAATTCCTCTAGCCATTCTTAAGCTGCAAGGCAGCGCCATCTCTTCGCATTATAGGTAACCCACAATGTCAAATGAATACTTTTACAAGTATTAAACATTTGACAGAAGAAATAGCAATTATAGTTATAATTTTTATTTCTTTAAAGCATGTAACTGCTTGATGTTTAAATCTAAAGAAAATATAATTAGAAAAAAATCCACGCGGACCAGGCAGCAGACGGGACTCGAACCCGCACCTTCGCAATCCGGGCGAATGCACTGACTAATTATGCTACCGTGACCCTCACGGACCGCGTCGAAATTCCTCTAGCCATTCTTATTAAGAATTAATCTTAAATATTAAAATTAATCATACTTGGGGAGGGGGGGGGTCTCCGTTTTTGTGACGGAATATTTCAAGAGGGCATTTGACACAGCGTGACAATAGGGGGGGAGGGGGTCGGAAAAAGCTGATTTTAGCGTGACGTATTTTATGAACGGCCCCTAATATAACATTTTGGATTACCTATAATGCGAAGAGATGGCGCTGCCTTGCTGCTTAAGAATGGCTAGAGGAATTTTGACGCGGTCCGTGAGGGCCGCGGTAGCATAATTGTTCAGTGCATTCGCCCGGATTGCGAAGGGTGCGGGTTCGAGTCCCGTCTGCCGCCTGGTCCGCGTGGAATTTTTTCTATGTATTGGTTTATTAAAAATCTACAAAACATTCCGTCAAAAGTGATTTTATTTGATATACAGTTTGATGACTAATCGCGTACAAGCGGCGGTCAACAGGCGCGGCGCTGGACGCCACCCTTCGGCAGTATTTTCAGTCTAGCTCCTAATCCACTTTCACGCCCATTATGAAAGTTGGCACCAATGTTCTATACAATATTAGCAATTTATATAAAAAAAAAAAAAAAAAAAGTAAATGGTCTAACTTGATGAAAATCAAGGAAAAAAACTTAAATTGGATTTTTTTTCCGAAAAAAAGATATTTTTTTCTTTTCCAAAAACACAGTTAAAAAGCCCAGTAAATAAAGTAGGAAATCCACTGGTTTAGTTATTTTAATATATAATTTTATGAGTCAATAATCGGCTTTGAAGTACTGCATGCCAACCGGTTGTCGAAAACTTCACAGTCCCATTACTCTTTAACTAGTCATTATATCACAAAAATATTTGGTACGCGTATCAATAATAAGTATAAGTAGAACATACTCAAATATTACTGAAATCGGAAACATCGAGTTTTTTTACCTGTCCGCTTCACGTGGAATGCCCCTTAAGCTAACTTTGGGGCTAGGCTAATTGGCTGATGACAGCGAAGTAACAACACATTTGTATGATCTCTCACCATGTTGTTGTCGCTCAAGTGTTGCTGATGATGATGATGATTACATTATAGTACAAAGGACGGCCTTATCGCTAAGAAGCAATTTCTTCCAGCCAATTGATGTTAACTGGACTGTTACATAGAGAGTGGGAATTTGTATGGTCTCTCACCATGTTGTTGTCGCTCAAGTGTTGCTGATGATGATGATGATTACATTATAGTACAAAGGACGGCCTTATCGCTAAGAAGCAATTTCTTCCAGCCAATTGATGTTAACTGGACTGTTACATAGAGAGTGGGAATTTGTATGGTCTCTCACCATGTTGTTGTCGCTCAAGTGTTGCAGCAACACTTCCGCGCGTCGACACCTCTCCCTGTACTGCGAGAACCTGACGAGCGATGTCGCGCAATACGAGCACAAATAATGTGGCAATTCCTCCACCTTCTATTAACAAATAATAATACATCAACATGTCATCCTGGCTGCGCCAATATTAATATATTTATCTAAATTAACTCACACGCACACTTATACATAACGTAACACACACATCATTCAATAATTCAATCATTCGACTCGATCCATCACCTGAAATCCATTATTTGTCAAAACTCGTTCAGTTGCCCACACGCCCCTCTCCAAGATCATACGACATACCATTTGACGACCTCCGTGGCCGAGTGGTTTGTACGCCGGGTTTCATGGTGTCGCCGACTCGAGAGGTCCCGGGTTCGAATCCCGGTGGGGGCAGATGTTTGTGTGATGAATACGAGCATTTGTACTCCAGTCATGGATGTTTAATATGTATTTATATAAATATACTTATATATGTACAGTATATGTATTCTATCCGTTACCCTAGCATCCCATAACACAAGCCTTATAGTGCTTACTTTGGGGCTAGGCTAATTGGTGTGAGTGTCGGAAATATTTATTTATTTATTTATTTATACCTGCGTACCTATCTGTCGCGCGGTCGCACGCGCTCCAAAAGTGTGATCTACCTTAACATTAGTATATAAATAAGAAATCGTGCACCATCGTGACTTTGAATCCTGAAAGTGGTGGTGAAAGACTCTCTGATTGTCCTTGGACTCAGGGTGAAAGTGTTTACGGAAGACGTAGTGCCTGTGACGAGAAGCGCCCAAGGAACGTACCAGGTATTCCTTATTTCTATTCCTTTCTCCTCCACATCCATTGAGGAGCCTGATGGCGCAATAAATTGGCGCGTTCGGCTGCGATCGTTGGAGTTAAGCAACTTTCGCAGTGGTCGGTCATTGGATGGATAACCAAAAATGTACTATCTTTCGGAAGGCACGTTAAGCCGTTGGTCCCGGCTGCATCTGCAGTCGTTAGCACCCGCCAATCCGCACTGGGCCCGCGTGGTGGGTCCTGACCCAATATCCCTATTCCGTCCAAAACGAAGGCCTGTGCCCCAGCAATTGGGACATTGATAGGCTGCGATAATGTCATCCATATATAGTTGTTGACAAACCAATTATCTGCTACGTGTAAAAAATAAAATGTCTCCTTTTTTCTTTTTTAATGGCTCAAAGGGGATTTGCCCATGATTCTGTCAATTTCTGAATTTTTCCAATTCCAATCAATCAATTTATTTATTCAAATATGAGTACATAATTATAATGTCCATTCGTATTTTACCCTGTATGGGTGTGAAACAAATTAGGTACCGCATATCTACAAAATCCAAAATTGTCACATTAGTAGCAGTAATTGTACTTAAAATAGATTAAACTCAAATAAACATCTTATCAAGAAAGCATAGTATTCGGTAAATTAATTTATGAATAACAAGCGGCCCGCCCTCGCTTCGCTTCAGTGTAGAGCTGAAGTGTAGACTTCAATTTTTGTTCTCAGGCTTGTATTATACACAATGAAATTCATCTATGATTCTTCTTATACATGCATGCAAAGTCTCAGCCCGATCGGTTTAAAATTGACAAAGTTTCATACAAACTTTCATTCCCTATTTTAACCCCTCGGGGGTAGAATTGATCAAAATCCTTTCTTAGCGAATACCTATGTCATAAAATCTACCTGCATGCCAAATTTCAGCCCGATCCGTCCAGTGATTTGGGCTGTGCGTTGATAGATCACTATGTCAGTCAGTCACCTTTGAGTTTTATATATATAGATAAGTGAAACCATCACGGAAAGCTCACTAACTTGTTTGAAACTGAAACTGTTTAGTAGTTGTGTTGATATAGATATTGTACTTGCAACGCCCTGACAGGGTCATGTACCATGCTAAAATAATTTTAAGACCCTATACTGTACATGTGCAATTAATTAATTAAATAAATAAAATTGTTGATTTAAATAAAACCAACTGTAAATTTTGGGTTTACCTTGCAGCCTAAGAAATGAAAAAATTCCTAATCGAATTTTATAACCTAAGGAAAAATTTATCTGGGAAAATTTTAAGACGGACAAGATAAGTACGATTTCACTCTTTTAAAATGTTTATGAGATACAAATAAACACTAACCGTTTTTCCGACGAATTCTTCAAATGTTTGCTTCAAATCCATCGAGTCTAGATCAAACATTTTGACGTCAGTGGCGAAACATCCACGACACACTAACAGGTGATCCGAAGTATCATCTGTTGCTTAAAATAAAAAAATATTTATTTATTTGTGAAGACATAATTATAGGGTTATATAAAAATTGTTTTTTGCAAAGCATTCAACAATAATAATCACACAATATTTTCAATTAGATACAACCTAGCATCTCATTGAATCACCATAACATTTACTACGAGTTTCATAAGTTTTACTTGCTAGCAGTAGTAAGATGTTGTGCCAAATGCTTTTGTTTCAGTCAAATCTTGAATTCCACAGGGTACTCATTTGGGACCCCTATTATTTAGAATTTAAGTATTTCCAAACTCGTATAATTATTTGATATGCCTTCTTTTTCTGGGATGACACATATTTATTTTCCTGTATGTTACTACTCACATCTTGTTTCATAGTGATATTCAAATTATCATTCTAACGCTACAAAGTTCTAGCTACGCTATAAAGTTTAGGCAACTTTGCAACTTACCAGTGTCTTCTTGTGATTCAGTCTCAGGTTGACATTCTGGCCCACTCTCAAAGTCACTCAAATATTCCTCAATTGTTTCTACTGCAACAACAATATTATAAGCAACTCTATTATCGTTTTAAAATTTCATAGTCCTGTCAACTACAATAAATAAATAAAGTTCGTGCATTTATCCGTTAAAACTAGTTTAATTTAAGGTCTATATTCTTCTGCATATACAAATAAGTCGTAAAATTTTATGAGCTTGAATTTCAAACTGTCGTATCTCTTTGACGCAAGCGTTTTAATTAAGACCTTATCCAGTATGCATTAAAGGTGACTGTAAATGTTTTAATGATGCCTTATGCTGTCTTTGACTACGCGATCATTTTACAGAGCTCCGTGTATCGTTCAATATACCTTTTGGACAGGTTTCGGCCACGATTTTGTTCGTGTTGGTGTATCTAGGGTATTTAATATCGTTGGGTGGGAAGCTCTTAACTAAGTGTTAAGTTTGATTTAAGTTAATGCTGTCTTTTTCTTTGGTTTCAAAATAGATTAAGACAAATGCTCACTCTTAATGCCACGACATCTATTTGAGGTATTTGAGTAACACCTTTAGTTTACACCCTTTATATATATTTGAAACATTTAACTGAAACTTTTAAATTTTAAATAAAACAAGTTTCAACTGTATATTTGCACTGATTTATATATTTATTGACGTTCCGCATTCTTTTCAGGATGCGTCATCATAATCAAATCATAATTCAGACGGGAATGCGAAGACGGAGATTCAGAATTGCTTCAAATGCGTTAAATTAACAAAAACCTGTCGAAAAAACGACAGTTAACGTACTATAAGTATGGTTTCCGTATTTTTTCACGGCGCTCTGCGGCATCTTTTCTCTTCAACTTGCAGTGCTTGAGTGGAGTTCAAGCACTTCTTGATTGGGACACATTTTGAGCGCACGTGGTGTATCTAGGGTATTTAATACCGTTGATTCCACCACCACCGCATCACATAAGTAAAAATATCATATACTTTGAAAAAATGAACTATATATATATATTTTTTTAAAGCATGTAACTGCTTGATGTTTAAATCTAAAGAAAATATAACTAGAAAAAATTCCACGCGACCAAGCAGCAGACGGGACTCGAACCCGCACCCTTCGCAATCCGGGCGAATGCACTGACCAATTATGCTACCGTGGCCCTCACGGACCGCGTCGAAATTCCTCTAGCCATTCTTAAGCTGCAAGGCAGCGCCATCTCTTCGAATTATAGGTAACCCACAAACCCGGATTGCGAAGGGTGCGGGTTCGAGTCCTGTCTGCTGCCTGATCCGCGCGATTTTTTTCTAGTTATATTTTCTTTAAAATGAACTTACTTGGATTCCTGTATGTGGCTTTAGGCTTTAAAGGTTCCGAAACTAACCCTTCAGCGATATCCTCTGAAACAACAAAATGACTGGTTCACAACCTCCGTGGCTGAGTGATATAATAATATTCGCTAGGTTACAAGGCGTCGCCTACTCAGAGGTCCCGGGTTCTAATCCCGGTGGGGGCAAATGTTCGTATGACGAAATCGTGCATTTGTACCTTAGTCGTGGATTTTTATTGTTTATCATTATCATCAGCCTATTAATGTCCCCACTGCTGGGGCACAGGCCTTCCCTATGGATGGAATAGGGAGGTTGGGCCATGACACACCACGCGGGCCCAGTGCGGATTGGCGGGTGCTAACGACTGCAGATGCAGCCGGGACCAACGGCTTAACGTGCCTTCCGAAGCACGGAGGAACTCGAGACAGAAGATTTTTGGTCACCCATCCAATGACCAACCACTGCGAAAGTTGCTTAATTTCAACGATCGCATTCGAACGCGCTAACCATCCGCGCCATTGAGCTCCTATCTAAACTTACAACTTAATTAAATTCGACAAAAATATATATAATTTACAGATCTATGGAATACTAGCTGTGCCCCGCGGTAATACCCGCGGTTAATTAAGCATATTTTCCCGCAGTAAAACGTAGCCTACGTGTTAATCCAGGGTGTCAGCTAACTCCACACCAAATTTTATTAAAATCGCTCCAGCCGTTTAGACGTGAAGAAGTAACAAACAAACACACTCACAAACTATCGCCTGTATAATATTAGCATAGTATGATATATAAGCTAAAGTAGTACCGCTTTTGTTGAAATAAATACCTACCTACACCGGGATTCGAACCCGGGACCTTTCGAGTCGGCAACACCATGAGACTCGGCGTCCATACCACTCGGCCACGGAGGTCGTCCTAAACTAAAGTGGCGTTAAAGCAATAGGGTATTTGACAGTATTAAAAATAAAGTGCCAATTGTTAGCATCTGTATTTAGAATGAATACTGGCAGGGGTTTTTATTATTTTTACAAAAATATATTCATAATTTTACTAAAAACCCACGAAAAAGATAATAGTTTGATTATCTATTGTCACGTGACTCAAAACGCTTGGGATTGGCGGAGCCTAAAATGACGTCACACGCTAGTAAACTTCCGGTTAAAGTGACATTACATTGTATCGTTTGACGTTTAAAATAACAGTCGTGTGACGTCACACACTAGTAAGACGCCATATTGTCCAGATAAACGTTTTCGCGGCAACTTGAAAATAGAGTTTTTGATTTGGTTATTTTTACTGAAATACACAACAGAATGATGACTATCCACTTTTTACGGACTCCATAAACATTAGTCAATAACGTGAGAATGTTTTCTAAAATTTGTCAAATACCCTGTTTTGCTTTTTCCACGGCCAATATAAGCTTACCTGAATGTTTTGAATTTTCAGCTGGTAACTCTGCTCTAGGAGTGGAATCTTCAGCTTTCTTATCTGTAACTGAAAAATGCAAGAAAAAAAAACATTACTCATAAAAACAAGGCATCAAAACAAAATTCATTCAAATATACTTTTAAGAGAATACTTGGGTGTGATCTAAATTCGATATTAAAGCCAAAAATATAGTTTGTAGATTTTTTGTCTATTTGTTTGTATGTATGTCCGGGATAAACTCAAAAAGTACTGCACGGATTCACTTCAAATTTGGCATGAATATTATTAAGAAGTTGGGTCAACATATAGGCTACATATTATCACGCTATCACCTACGGGAAACGAGCAGTGAACAAGGGTCTAAAAGTATGTGCAAATAACTTACTCCATGCGTCCGATGTCACGGGCGGCCGCTAGTGCTAAATAGATACATTATAACAGCATTATGGTTTAATATTTGGAGGGTAGTGGTCTCTTGTCCCACGGAGACCAGCCGGATTGGGACGTTTAGTGTGTTTTGCATTTTTATTTGTTTTAGGCATATCATGAGGTCGAAGAGGAACAAGTGGACAAAGGATATTATTGAGTGGTACCCCTGAGATGGTAAACGTAGTAGAGATAGACCACACAAAAGATGGGAAGAAGATCTACCCAAGAGTTGGCGACAAGCAGCCACAGATAGGAACCAATGGGCCAATTTGGAGGAGGCCTATGTCCAAGGACAACCTGATTGTACACGTGCCGATGTCAGCGATTAAACTAAGTTTTAATTTTAAGTTAAGTTACTTTTAACATGTACAACAGAGAATAAAGGCTATTTTATTTAATTTATTTATTTATTGTGGTTTAATATTATGTTCACTTACCAGTTTGTGGCTGCATCTGTTTGTTCACAATATCAACTTTACAGTATGAATGATCAACTTGATGCTTCCTTTTTCTAGAATAGTCATGGTCCATTAGTAGTTCAGTCGCAGAGGTCACTTTCCCTACAACAAGTCACACTTTTAAGAAAACAGGACAAAATTGTGTTCATACTGGCATCTTACCCCAGATGCCATTACATTTTTTTCACAATACACATGACCTAACTACCCGAAAGCTACTATGGTTAGCTGACCACTTTTATAACTTCCAATAGCAGTGCCGTTTTTGACCTATTGGAGGCTCTGGGCATAGTAGGATAATGGGGCCCCTATGACTTCCGTTTGGTGATTCAACAGGAACTAGCTAGACAGCTCCATTTGTGAGTGCGGACTCGAGGAAGGCACTGTAGACCACATTTTTTTCAACTGTCAAAAACACCCATCTCTATATTCTCTACTTCCACCCAAAACTGTACGTCCCATTAACATTAATACAATTCTAACATTGACCGACAAACCTGGCTTTTTGTGTTTATGTAAATTCATAAAAAAATACAATATTAAACTCTAACTTTTATTAACCCTTCTATTTTTATTTGGATGTAAATGTCGGCTCTACCCATGTCATATAAATTAATATTGTTTAACCTGTGACGTCTTTGTGTTTGTTTGTTATGTTGTGCTTTCAGAAAAGTGAAATACTCAAGGAAGAATGTATAATCGGTTATTTAACGGTTTCTACCGAGCAGTCTTTCTCGTGTCTCTCTCACTACCTACTGGACATTGGCGAAATTTCTGTGCAAAACGGAGAACGCCACAGAAAGAAGAAAAAAAAAACAGGAACTAGGGATTTTGTATTTGATCTGAGGGGGCCCCCTATCGATTGCGGGGCACTGGGAAAGACAGGTCTGTCCAACAGCAGCTTTCCAATAGCTGTAGTTGAGTTGCGAGCTGAATTTTTTGTCACGTAAAGTATTAATTACTTGTTACTACGTACACGAAATCTTTTTACGCGGAAACGAATAGAATTTTGAGAAAAAAATGATTGAAAATTAATATTTTTCTAGGTTAAAGTCAATTTGGTAAAACTGTACTTCCAGGGCCCAAAAGGTGATACTTGTTTTTTTTGTAGAAAAGGTCTTTTTAACAGATTTTTTTTTCTGGCGCTTCGCCGGCCGCTGCCGCGCCACGCTCGCTTTGCTCGCTCGGCTCGCGCGTTGTGGTCACAACACTAACCTAACCTAGTGTGAAGTATCACCACTTGGTAAGAAAAGTAAAAATTTTCAATATTTTTTTCTAAAAAACTACCAGTGCATAAGTGTGACATTTTTTTCAAATAATGTGGTTAACAGAAACCTTTTTAACAACAAAAATGCGAAATTACAACCAACAAAACTGAAGTTTTTACTTTTGGGCCCTGGAAGTACAGTATATCCAAATCTTTTTACGCGGAAACGAATAGAATTTGAGAAAAAAATGATTGAAAATTAATATTTTTGTAGGTTAAAGTCAATTTTGACAGCTATTTTGATCTTTATGTACAAACAAAGAACAAACACGTACCGGTTGCATCAGGAACTGCATTATTAATCTCACTCTCAGTGAACAATGTTGGGATGGCACTTGAATGCAACCTAGATCTTAATCGTGAACTTGTGAAGCACCGTTTTTCGAAGTGTTTGGCACACACGAAGCACTTATCACGTTGGACAGAATTGGAATTCTGTAAATGTTTTAACCAAAGGAGTCCTGTCTCAGATTTGGGTATTTTGTAAAATGCAACGTCCTTTCGTCTACTCTCACAACCCATAACACTGCATGTATTGAACATTTTTCTAGGTCTTAGAAAACTGTCACAGTTATGTTATTGAGAGGTTAAGGTACGGAAATTATCAACAGAAAACTTCACTCGATCAACAGTTGGACCACAGAACAGAGTAGGTACTTACCTTCTTCTTGTTGAAGTTCTCCCGTTTTAGGGAAGGCAAAGGGAACAATGCCCATACAGTCTAGTTCTTTTTGTTTTTACATTAGAATGTCGGTGTGAGGAATTCTAATGTTTCTTGGAGTGTTTGGCACGAAATGTATCGAGTTGGCTTTTTCGATAAGCTTCTGTGAGGTAGTCAACACTACAATAAAATTCTCACGTCCACTTGACCGAAATGGCGTATATTTTAATGATTCCACTAATTCTTCAGTTACGCAGACAGTTGTTACACAAAACCACACCAATTTTATTTCACAATATCCACTATGAACGAATTTAAGAATAATTAAAATAAGACGCCAACCGCACTCGATGAAATCCCGCCAAAAAGCCCCCTTTTATAAATATATAGGGAACTAGCTGACCCAGCGAACTTCGTACCGCCCTAAAAAATAGGGGTTGTCCAGCGGACAAAATTGTGAATCTAAACCATTCTCAGATCCCCTTGAACACACACAAAAAAAATCATCAAAATCGGTCCAGTCGTTTAAGAGAAGTTCAGTGACATACACACTCACAGAAGAATTATATATATAAAGATAGAGATCTGACTTCACGATTTTTTACAATGATGACTACTAGCGACATCTCGATCCCTCGGATGGCAACTTTCTCTGTATGCAACAAAATTATCCTTAGGGTACCCACTATACTACACGCGCACCATAAGTTGAGACTTGACAGTATGCAAAAATTACTTATTTGTATTATTCTATTTTATAAATATGAATATAAATTATCCAATATTATTAAATTAGTTAACTTTAATAGCATAGGATAATGCATATATATATATATATATATATATATATATATATATATATATATATATATATATATATATTTGTAGGTATTTTTTTCGTCAATTAAAAATAATAAATATTTTGGAAATGTGACATGTAGGATTTTTTTCATATATTTTTTTAAATTCGGTGCATCTCAAATGATAAGATAAAACACTTTTCATTGCAAGGACAAAAACCATATAAACTAGTGTAATTGATTTAACTATGAGGTCTTTTACAATGTTGATATATATATGTCGTGGCCATATCGTTGATTTGCTCACTTCATGAAATGCTCGAGAATTTCATGAAGTGGTCGCATTTCATGAAATGTTTCACTATCTATTGGCCACATCATTTATTTATTTATTATTCAAAATACATTACACCATTATAACAGGTATATACCTAATTCAATAGTGTAGTCGTCCTTTCAAGCTAACTATAAATTCTTATAAAATTACATTAATTATTAACAATATTATTGCAATGTTGTAAATTATATATAAATGTCAATAAATGTCAATAAAAATAAATAAAAGAAAAAACAATGTCAATGTAAGTAAATGTCAATTAAAAATCTATAAAAATAAAAAATAACTTCAATTTAGGATGCATTACAAATATTGTCCATAAAATCTAAAATTCATAATACATTTCTCAAAATAAATAAAAATATATTCCAGTAAAAAAGTCAATAATGTTATTTATAGCACAACACTTTTAAAGTTACTTTCGTAAACTCGCCAATCGAACAGTACCCTTAGTACGAGTTTTAGAATTACGAAAACTATGATAGTTTTCGTGAGCTCGCACTCGTACTAAGGGTACTGATTTTATTGTTTTCGTTTCAATACAAATAAACAGTGTTTATATTCTATCATTAAACCATTGCGTTTTCATAAATTTTAAGTATATTTGATTATTTTTCACCAAAATGGACATAAAACATAATTTAAGTACAATTCGAAAACTATGATAGTTTTCGCGAGCTCGCTCTCGTACTAAGGGTACAGGTGAACAAATCGATAGACTCGGCAACTACATTGAGCGTGTGTATTGTTCGCGTCAGAGGTGCGGTGGCCAGCAGGCGAGTGCGGGCGCGCGGCACCGCGAGAAGTTGCGGCCGCCGGCGCCGCCACACGTATCTATCAGGCACGCATAAATTTAGCAATCCTAATATATTTGGGTTGCAGGTAATGCCTCGCAACACCCTGACTATGTAATCAGCGAGTGCCAATTCCCTTCTTGTCTCCAACTTGTTGTAACCGACCATGCCCAATACGAACAAGGTTGGGTACATCAACGGATAGAAAGGGTACACTCCGTATAACTTTAGGTATAAGTATCTCGTGTATTTATTTTGTATGCGCTCCATCATTTGTCTATACTTTGTTTCGTGTGGAGCCCATACTATCGCGTTGAATTCGAGCTGACTTCGTATATGTGCATTATACAGGGCCGCAATCGCTTTCATATTCGTAAAACCTACTGAATGACGCAAAACAAAACCCAAACTTCTGTAAGCTTTTTTACAAATATTCGTAATATGATCTTTAAAATTCAATTTGTGATTGAATTGTACTCCCAAATCTCTGACTGTCTCAGTCCTATGTAATTTTGAATTTTCAATTTTGTAGTCGAAGTGGAGCGGAGTTTGTGCTCTACTAAAAGATATTATGGAGCATTTGTTAGTATTAAACTGCAGTTTATTTTTTCGACTCCACTCCACCACCTTGTCAATGTCTCCTTGTAACCGTTCACAATCCTCGTAGTCCTTAACGGCCCACAACAATTTCAGATCATCTGCGAAAAGTAAACATCGAGCATAATTGACCACTTCTGGCAGGTCATTTATCATAACGATAAATTCTTCATCATGATGTGGTTTGGGCAGATCAATGATGAGAAATCGTTTCACGATATGGCCAACTGAACGCGTGGCTACTTCATGAAGTGGCAAAAATGATTTGATCATATTGTAAAGTAGTTACATTAATTACCGGTAGAGGCGCTGCAAGCGCTTTTTTTATATATGTATATGGCGGCCGCTGCCGAGAATGTTGTTTCTCGCAGTGAAAAAGTGCATAATTCGTTATTTAATGAGGAAGAAAGTGATAATAAAAGGGTTTTCGACGAAACAATTTAAGGAGAGTAGGGTGACTACGCAAAAGAAATCTATGGACTACTACTGGCTGTCAAAATATGAAATTTTGGAAACTGCGGTTGATGTACAAAGTGCGGATGAGAATCAATGCCGTACAAAGATATACTGTAAAACTGTACTTCCAGGGCCCAAGAGGTGATACTTGAATTTCTTTTGTAGAAAAACTTTCTTTTAATATTTTTTTTTCCGGCCGCTGCCGCGGCACGCTCGCTTTGCTCGCTCGGCTCGCGCGTTATGGTCACAACACTAACCTAACCTAACCTAGTGTGAAGTATTACCGCTTGGGCCCTGGAAGTACAGTTTAGCCTACTACTGTAATATATACCAAAGTACCTTTTTATTTCTAAATATTTGTTAGTTTTCTAAATGTAAATGAAATTTACATTTAAGTAACTACATGACAACATGACACGTTGATGTTTAATTAAGAAAAAAAATTTTTTTTGAATGATTATTTTCTTACAAAAATTTTATTCAATTTGTTTGTGTCATTCGGACTCAAACGACAATAAACAAGTTCTTGACATATTCTGGAATTTTTTATTAAATATTTTATGGTCACCCTGATTATACGATCCGGCCAAATGTGGATGACAAAATCGTTAAACGTTGACGATTTAATGATCTGGTCAAATTAAGTTGGCCACATCATGAAATGCGACCATTTCATGAAATCCTCGAGCATTTTATGAAGTGAGTAAATCTACGATATGGCCACGACGTATATATATATATATATATATATATTTGATTTACTAACCTGACAAATTTAGAGTTGGCACAGCAATATTGCTGATCTTGTTATATCGACAACAATATTTGGTTTCGAAATGAGCATGACAAACTCGGCGATTTTTGTATATGTACTCATTACTGAATGCCAAAATATCTCCACCAATATTGAACAACCATGACTTGAAGCGATCCGTATCCTTTGCAGGGTTAGGAAAAAGATGCAAGACAGTATGGGAATCTGAAAAATGTAAACAAATTTAATTTATTTATATCAAAACTAAAATAATAAGATATAAGTAGGATGTGACTTTGGAAGTGATTTTAATAAAATTCATCTCTCATCAGCCACCACATTGATGCTCCTATCATTCATAGCATATGTCAAATGTAAGTATATTACAAATATAAAATATTAAATAAAACTAGTTTTTACGGATTAATGCACGAAACTTTATTTATTTATTGACGTTTAAGGCTACGCCTTTACAGGCTACGTCGTCAGAATAAGCCTGTAAAGGCTACGAAACGTCAATAAACAAATAAAGTTTCGTGCATTAACCCGTAAAAACTAGTTTTATTTAATGAGTGATGTGCGTGAAAACCTAAGAAACAAACATAAAATATTAATTTCAATAAGCACTATCAGTAATTAAGATTTGTCTTCCAATTTGTATTATCATTATACTTGTAGCAGTACACAATAATAACACAACACAGAAGTTAATCCTTTTATTTCAAATGACGAAACACCGTCCAGGAAATAGTGATGCTGAATAATTCTTTGATTACATAGCTCTGAAAAGAGCTTTCGTGCGAAACAACGTTTCACTCTCGGCTATCACTGCAGCTTCACGATCACCGCATCTCTTCAAGCAGTAGCCGCGGCACGCGGCACGCCGCCCGCTCGCCGCGCATCGAAGAGGACTCCACACGTCTGCACCGTAGCGTAGTGTATATATTCTGTGCCGTAGGTGTCGCCCGACGAAATGGACGAGTGCCGCCGCGGACGGCGGTTTTGTCGAGCGACGCGCACGCTTCCCCGCGCGCCGCATTCCTCGCTCCGGGTGCGAGCGAAAGGCGCAAACCTACCTCTCCCGCTCGCACATCACTCATATAAATTATTATGAAACTACCCAATTATCATCGATTAAATAATGTAAAATTTTATATAAATATAACATGATTTCCAAAATAGAAACATTCCTTAACTGACTATCAAAGAGTTTAATTTACTGAAACCTACATTCGCTAAATACTGCTTACAAGTTATGCAAGAACCTACTATTCAACTTTACATAAATGCGGAAAGAAGGAGCTGGAAAACAAAT